TTACTTTCTTGTTCATTTCAGTTATCAGTTATAAGTTCAGTTTCAATTTCAGTATTTATAGCTTTTTCTCTCAGTTGCTTTGCATACCAGTGCAATTCAAATGTACTAACGCCCCTTTCACCCAGGACTTGCATCTCACGATGCAGGTAACAATTTACAGGTTGACGATCAGAGCGTTATTCTCGTACAAGCTATTTGATGAGCCCCAATTCTTTCGGGGCATTATCATTACTTTACAGTCTTTCAGTATTTGCATACAATCAGTATTTTGAGTACTTCATTAAAGGCTTCATAGACTAGAGTTACAATTAGACAGTGTCACAGGCTTTTCATGTTAAGCAATGTTGGCTACATATATGTTTCAGACTTATATTAGTGTTTTCGAACTTTGATTAATATCATTCATACTTTCAAAATATCAGCATATGTTAGTTTATCTTCCGCATTCAATATGTTATGATATCACATGTTGATTCTGCCAACCAGTTAGTTCACTCGGTCATATGTAGTCAGGCACCGGATATTGTGTTACGTCCAGGCCCAGGTTCAGAGCGTAAAATTAGGGGTTGCTGGTAGATCGTAGTTGTAAGTGTGCCAAACTTGTTGTATACTTAGCTAATCATAAGCTACTTGATTAGCTTCCATGTAAAAATGAAGAGCCTCCACACTATCCTTCATCGTCTAACCAAATTTAAATAACTTAAACTATAATGATAGAAAAATCATTTGTTCCTTTTCTCAAGTAATTAGTAACAGTATATGAGTGAGTCCAATCCAGTACAATATCCGTTATTATTGTTGGATGCACTATAATAATTCAAACTTAACTGGAGAAATCTCAGCTGTATAATTACTGTTGCACTATATAGGAACTAAGAAAGCAAGAGCAAATCTCTCAGCATATTCATCACTACTCCTCTAATCCTAGCCTTTCAGTATGCCAAAAAAAATACCATCAGTGTTCAGTTTAATCCACCCAGGGAAGGTTTGATCCACTTCATTTGCTTTCACTTTGTGACTGGCCTCAACTTTTTCACTACCTCACAGATTCTTTTCCAGGTTAAATCCATCTCACATCTAGGGAAGGACATCCTTAAAGTTGCTTTCAGGAAAATATGAAATCCATTATATTATAAGTAAAAAGAGTCGTTCCCATATTTACATAAACATCTGCACTTTCAAATTTTCAACATATGATGGTGGTACAATCTGAAGTAACAACTTGTGGACCTAGTTGTTTATTTTTACCCCACCATGTCGTGAAGATCCTTTTTATGGACAAGAACTGGTGTTGATTGATCAGTGGTCCTAATAATTTCATATATGATGTGCAGCCTCACTTTCAACAAAAACTTGCTGAACAGTTTCACACTTGAAGACTTTACAATAGTTACACTGGGGCACAATTTGATTACCAAATATTGAAATGATTTCATCAAAAGGCAAATTTTGTTGTAGTGGTCTCCAATTAAGAAATGAAATCTTAAAAAGGATGTCTTTATGCCATACCTTGTTGATAAAGTCACATCTCCGACCAAATAATCAACTTTCTACCATGCTGAACTATTAGAATAATGTCCATCAATTGGGGTATCCAAATAGCATAGTCAGGAAGGTTTTGGGTCACCAATGTCAATCTTTGGCATGTATTGCACTAAGTGGTAAGGGAGAACTTCAGAGAGCTTGCAGACATCCCACGTCCCCCTCCCCCTCCATAAATCATTCTATTAACATATTTGATGATGAGCAACATTCTGCCAAAGCACACTTGTTTACTTATCCCACCAAAAACTGCTTTTACCTTCTTCATATGCCATACTATACTGACATCCGCTTCTTGTTTGACCTCCATAAGTTTTCTCTATGAATGTGACTGCCCAATGCACTTTTTTCTGGCCACAAGTTGTATCTTTGTGCAATACTTAGCTCTCAGGAAATCTGTCCAAAGAGAGTGTCTATTCAAAAGTTCTACTCTCTTTATGGAAAAAGAAGACTAAATATCCTCCATTTTCCTAAAGCCAATTCCGCCCTCTTATTTAGAACTTAACTTATTCCAAGAACTCCAACGATATTTAGATTTCTCTGAATCAGCCCCCTAGAAAATCCTGGCAAAATATTTTTCCATTGGGCTGAAGGTGCCCTTTGTGGGTTTATAGCAGCCAATGTATATTTTGGAATGGCAAGAGGCACAATTTGATAAGAATATATCTGCCTCCAAATGAAAGCATCTTCACTAGTCATGCATTTAACCTCTCAATAATCTTGGAAATTAAGCATATCATCAAAGTGTGACAACCATTTCCTCCAACATAGACACGGCATCCCAACCATTTCCTTCCAACATAGACATGGCATCCCAAATATATGAATGAAAATTTCTTATTTAGTAAACCAGTTGTGTTCCTCATTTACTTGGTCGTGGAATTAGAGGTTTTAGGATTTATGAGGAAGAAGCTCTTCTTCATGTTTTTTTTTTACAAGAACCACCATGATTGGTGGGATTGAGTTTGAAGCCCAACTTTCAAATTACTTCAGCAAAATTATTACAGGGAATTGGATATTTGTCCAACCCACCTTGAGTTACTTGAAGGATGAAAACTTCATCCTTATACAAAAACACGCCCCTATGAGCTACTAATAATGTAAACATGAGAACCTTTTTAAAGGTAGAATATCTTCTTAAAAAGGCCTTCCGTTTGGCCTGATGATCTTTTATATCTTTTCACCTGTTTCACAACAAGCCTTATAGACTTGCTATTTCCACCACCGAAAATAACTAGTATATCATTAGCATATGCTTAATGATTCGCCTTAGGGCCATTAGAGTCATGGAGAAAAAAAGTGTAGATGTCGGATTGGTTCAGCTTGTTGAGAAGTCTGGATAGAACTTCAAAGCCCAGTATAAATAGGGAAAGGGAAAGGAGATCCTTGCTTGACAGAGAAGAACCCTTGTGTGGATCAATTATATTAATGCTAATGGAGTACCAAACATCATATACAGAATCCCTCTGAAAAACCAAATATTCTTAACACAGAAGTAAGGAAAAGCCAAGAGATCCTGTCATATGGTTTGCCAATATCCACTTTAATAACTACGTCGCCACCTTTGTTTGGTACATATCTTGGACTATCCTCTTATCCAATAGTACTTTTTCTGTTATGGGTCTATGTTGCCACCTTTGATTGGTTGTGAAATGTCTTGAACTATCCTCTTGTGCCGATAGTATATTTTTTGTTATAAATCTGCCTTGATCAAATCCAATCTAATTCTCATTTACCAACTTAATTACACAGCATGGGAAGCCTTTTAAATAGTATCTTAGTTATCACCTTGCATGTGAAATTGCTGAGTCTGATGAACCGTATCTCAGCAAAACAAGTAGGACATCTACCCCTTATTTCAACTTTTACTTACAAAATGATTTTAAAAATCAAGCCCATTATTTCGGAAGAGCAATTCTACCCTCACAATCTAATCTAAAATCATATTACAACCGTAGAAATTCTCAAGTCCTACCAGCATTCGTTTTTAACATCTGTAGTAGAAGCCATAAACGTAAAACAGCATAATTAATCCATCGAAAGATCACAAAAATACATGCACACAACGAGAGTAGAAAGTTATAGTAGTAAATTCACAAGAAAAACACCCTTATGGCTTATGTATGTATCAGTACAACCAATTAATAATGCTTGACAGACATTAAAAAGGAAACTGTTAGTCCAACTTAGAACTTTTATTGCGAAACTAAAACTAAGAAGCGACGGATAATTTTCGTCTAATATAAGCACTTTTTTCCAAGGATAAAGTATTTAGTTCAATAAAGTTCTTCCTACTTAAGCTTTTTATGATCTTTCATAAAGATGGAGATAAGCAAGATCCACCTAATATTGCAAACACGAAGAAACACATTTAGAGGTATGTAATTAACGGATAAATTAATTAAGATGTCGAAAATGGATGTATAGGTGGTCTTGCTACTAGTAAAGTTTCTTCTTTGAAAAAGACGTTAATCAATGAAAAAGTAATACTGATATTGAAGCTGTTATGTACTCGAGTATTATTGTGTATATCATGTCTAACTGAATAATTTAAGGCAAACTTTAATTTACACAAAATCCTAATCCTGTTAAGTCCAATACAGCATTCCTTGGATAGTTATTCATGTAGATATAGTTTATAACTATGGGAGTTCAGCTGTGCATCAAAATGCAAGCAAGAAGAATGTATATTTTGCATTATCCAGTTACTCAATCCGTTTTTGTTATTTCATGAATCTTGTAGCTATAGCATATTTAGTAGGCGTGGCTACAATTATGCTCAGTGTATTAAAACTAAATCGAAGTTTCACCAATTTTACAAGTCCAGCTAACCTCAAATCCTAATTGAGGAAGTCAACATAACCAAGCTCCTCAATAGTAAGCCAATAAACATCAAAAGGTAGGTTTAAGTAGCAATGATATACTCTCTCAAAGTACTACTGACATAACTACTTCCATTATCCACATTAAACGGCCAACGGCAACAATCTCATAATTACACCAGTTATAGCCTCATTCTATACAATCACTTAGCTTAAGCTAGCTCTTCACTCACTACAAGAGCTAGCTTGTAGTGACTTGTCTTGAGCTCCTACAAGACAAGTCATTAAACAAACTGACCGACATTATAACAAACAGAAATCGTGCAATAAAAGGAAGGATCATATCTAAACAAAGCATTTTGAACCATAAACTCTCAAATTATGAGCTCATTCTACTATTTAGATTTGAAATTCACTCGCTATTTGAATTTAATAGGAGTAGTAACTGTATAAGTATTAAACTGTCTATTATGCCACATTATCCAGGTCAAACACGCTAGTAAGATGCAAAATTGGAAGGTGAAAACTATTTGGCACTCAGATCTTGTTAATCTACATACATTAAAAATGAAACTAAATATTTAATAAATTAAATTAGTAAATTTGAAAAAAAAAAAAGGTGATAGTGAAAAGCACCTGGTGCTAGAATATTCGTAGAGCCTGCCAGTGCTGGAGAAGATGATGACTCCGACCTCCGCATCGCAAAGGATCGCTAACTCCTTCGCCTTCTTCAGCAATCCATTCCTCCTCTTCGAGAACGTCACTTGCCTGCTCGTCGAATTGTCAATCCTTCTTATCACTATCTTTCCTCTCCCCATCGCCGATCTCACTCTCTCTCTCTATCTACTTTCTCTCTCTACAAATACACACAGTACAATTACACACCTATACGTACACATTTACGAGCCATATATTCAATTTTTCACATAGGCGAAAAAAACAAAAATATGTTTCCTATGAAGACTTACCAGAGAAATTAAATTCGCGAGAAGAAGCAAAAGACGGCGAAGACAAAATCACTGTTTAGATATGAGGAAAACGGAGAGAATTATCCGAGGAAAAAGGAAGAGAAAGTAAGGAAAAACTTGCGGTTGATGGAGACAAAAGGAGGCTTCACAATCGTCGTTTTGGGTCAGTCTTCTGATTGAATTTGCCTATATAAGGAAAGTGTTTCTATATATGAAAATGGCGAAACCCGAGGGGTGGGTAGGTGTAAAGGGGGGTGGGACGTTAGGGCGTTTCCATAAAACCGCTATTCGCATTGGGTTTTGTAAAACCGATACTGGTTTTGTGTGCCTGAATGCCACGTGGAGACATTATATTAGCCAATTGGTTTATTATAGGTCAGACTCGTACGAAACGTTTCCTCATTCGTATAGATTGCTGACGCGTGGTGGCCTTGCAATTAAAAACTAACTTCCCACTTTAGGAAATTGCCTTTTCGAACTAGTGGTTGAATACTGACGGATTTGCCCTTTCTGGATTTGGGTGACTAATTTACCCCTTTAGAGCTAATAATGGAGTGACCACTCCCGAAACCAAAATGGCATGGTTTTGGACTCAAAATACGTTTCTACACTTTTAAAAAAAAGTTACTTGTCTACTTAAAATTGTGTTTTACTTTAACGGAATTTTAGCCGTTAAAGTAAAGCGCAGTATAATACTGCATTTTACAAAGCACAGTATTATACTGTATTTTACCTATTAAAATATAAGTCCCTTCTTCCCCACGATAGAAACCAGAAAGCTTCCAATTAAAAAACACCACAGCGGTCCCCTCCGATTCAAAAAAATTCGAGTGGATCCCACTCGTCACACAAAAAGTGAAGATTGTAGGTCCCGCATACAACCCAAGCCTTCGATTGTTGTGGTTTCCTCTTTTTGGGCTCAAAATTTTAATTTTTCGACTTTTCTTAAAACATAAATCGAGGTATTCCGATTAGTTTATGTTGAAACTCGTATAATAATGCATATTAGTTGTCTTGAATGTGTTTCCACGTTGTTTTGTGTTTTGGTTGCGATTAAATTTGTATGTTATTTTTATCCGGATTAAATTATTAGTGTTTAAAAAAAGAGTTAAAAGTTGAGAAATAATTTTTCTTGTTAATAAAAATGTTCATAAATTTCTTTTAATAGATATGTAATTTCGTGAATGTTATGCTAGTAAAATATGTTTATTGCTTTTTATTTAGTTTAAATTATTTATTTGGTTAAAGAATAGTGTCATTTTAGCAGAGTAAAATATAGAGCCTTATAGCGTAGTAAAATATAAAGACCTTTACCGTAGAATCTCTGTAGTTTCAGTATCTACTAACTACAAACTCTATCCAATTACACTTTACAAAAATTAATTATTTAATTTATAAAACAAACACACAGAACTAACAAATTAATATATGCTGTCAAATTAAATATCGGTCGTGGAACTCATAGATATATATCTTGTCCAATTAAAAATTAATTATTTAATTTATAAAACTAACAAAACTGTAAAAGTATTGAAATTGACGCACATAAGAATTCAGGATAGCTTGGTGCTATTGGGCCTCAAATATCGATTCTGGAACCCATAGATATTTACTTTGTCCAATTAAATAATTAAATATTAATTATTATTTCTGAAACAAAATTGTAAAAATATTAAAATTGACACACATAAGAATTCGGTATAGCTTGGTGCTACTGGGCCTCAAATATCGAGCCTGGAACCCATAGATATATACTTTGTCCAATTCAAAATTCTAAAAATATTGAAATTGACACACATAAGAATTTAGGATAGCTTGGTGCTACTGGGCCTCAAATATCAAGCCAGGAACCTATATATATACTCTGTCCAATTAAATAATTAAATATTTAATTTATAAAACTAACAAAATTCTAAAAATATTGAAATTAACACACATAAGAATTCAGGATAGCTTGCTACTACTGGGCCTCAAATATCGAGTCTCGAACCCATAGATATATACTCTGTCCAATTAAATAATTAAATATTTAATTTATAAAACTAACAAAATTCTAAAAATATTGAAATTGACACACATAAGAATTCAGAATAGCTTGGTGCTACTGGGCATCAAATATCAAGCTTGGAACCCATAGATATATACTCTGTCCGATTAAATATTTAATTTACAAAACTAAAACAAAATTCTAAAAATATTGAAATTGACACACATAAGAATTCAGGATAGTTTGGTGCTACTGGACCTCAAATATCGAGCCTGGAACCAATAGATATATATTATGTCCAATTAAATAATTAAATATTTAATTTATAAACCTAACACATAGCCTGTGCATCCTGGACCTTTCTCGGATAAGATATTAGTGTTACAGGGTGATCATAGGTCCGCCTACGTATGGAAGGGAGAGCTAGTGGAGCAGACTCCCCGCGCTAGGAGAGTGGACGACATGTGGGACTTTATTAGGGAGAGAGGTTTTCATTCCAGCGTAGTCCAGCACCTGCGTGATACGGGCTTCTATAGGATTTTTGAGATTGGGCGGCTGCAGCTTGACTAGTCTCAGATCACGGCGTTGATAGAGCGGTGGCGACCGGAGACGCACACTTTTCACCTGCCTATTGGCGAGGCCACCATCACGCTTCAGGATGTTCATGTTTTATATGGGTTTCCTGCTGATGGACTGGCCATTGCACTACCTCAGTATATGAGATCTATGACGTGCCCAGTATTTGGACTTGCTACAACAGTTCACTGGTTTCAGGCCACAGGGTGAGGCTGTAGCTTTAGGGGCAGTTATATTTCTATGACAGCTATTAGACAACATTTGGAGGTATTGCAGCCCGACATCACTGGCGAGACAGAAGATCTACATATTCACTGGTACACGAGGTTAGCACTGCTCCTTTTTTTGGGGGGTATCTTGTTCCTGAACACTTTGAAAAATCTAGTGAGTATGCGATTTCTACATCATCTTCAGCAGCTAGATGAGTTACCCTAGTACAGCTGGGGTGCTGCTACTCTCGCTTACCTATACAAGAGTATGTGCCGAGCTAGCATGGGAACCCAGAGCGACGTATGTGGTTTTCTGCCGCTTCTACAGGTGACAACATATTCGAATAATTTGTTCATTACTTCCAATTTTATATAGTCAAAATGACTCTTAAATTTTCCGTCGACTTTGTATGTTAGGTTTGGGCCTGGGAGCAGTTCCTGTCATTGCAATCACCTTGTTAATTTGTATGAGTCCACCAAACAATAGAGTACTTGGTCCTCTACGAGATTTTGCTAAGAATGCTAATAAACTATAAGTAAATGAAACACGGAATTTTTACGAGGAAAAATCCCACACAAGGGGACCAAAAACCACGACCTACACCAGTAGGCTTTCAACTTCTCTGACTTGTAAAAAACCTATTACAAGCCACTTTGTAATGACTCAATTGCAAAGAATTTACTCAACTAACTTTTGTAATGACTCAATTACAAAGAATTTACTCAACTAACTTGTGATACTCTTACCACAAGCCACTTTGTGATTCCCTAGTTATAAAGACTTTTACTAACTTGTGGTGCTCTCACCACAAGCCACTTTGTCGCTCTACAGTTACAAAGATTTTTGCTTATGACTAAACCTAGACACAACATATACTCAAGGAGTTTACGGATTTTGCAAGAGGATTCCTAATCAACGCTTCTAGCTAAGCAATTTAGGAGATACAATAAGTACAATCACAAAGTTATAACTTAACTAAGGACAACAACATGCTAACTTTAGGAACTGGTCCGTAGTTGCGTCAACTTTGTTCTTCAAGCTCGTGAGGATTGATTTCTCTGTTTTTGCAAAATGCTTGAATGAGAAACTGAAACATTCAATTGATATTCTAATATAAACTCATTGTTGGTACACCTTGATCACATCACTTGAAATGATGTGAGCACTTTTTTTGGTCAAGGAATGAGTGGGTGCTGGTGACAGTGCAGTGCGGCAGAAACAGTGCAGGTAGTCACTTCATTTCCAGCTGTGTCCAATTGACTTTATACTGCTACGATGGAACCACAAGGGTATCAGTTCCTTGTTTAGTTTCCTAGCTCCTGAAGTTGTAGCAGTTCACCTTTAGCTAGAATTCGTTAAATGGAGTATAGTCCAAGTGAGTCAAGTTCCCTATCTGGTCCTTGACATTAAGTTTGTTAGATCATTAAAACACAAGGCAAAGATATTGAAAACCTATCAATTTACCCCTTTTTGATGATGACAAACTTAATATTGATAACATTTAGAGCAAAGAGAACCAGATTAAGTAACAGGAGAACACAAGTTCCCCTGACTTTATGCCCCTTTTACCCCCTGATTTTATTTGTTCCCCCATATGTTCCCCCTGAATTTATGGTCATTGTGAGCACGTGATTTTTATTTACGCGACAATCACTCCAAAAGAAATCAAAAAATAACAACAAATGGTCTTGTANGGCACCAAAACTACGTCGTTTCAAGAACAATCCATCTCAGCCGTCCAAACCAAGTTGATCTGACAGCCCTCATCATATATCCATACCCATTGTTTAAACCCGACCCGTTCAACCCCGGACCAACCCAACCCCTTGCAGTTGAAACGACACCGTTCCTTACCAGTTGAAAGATCCTGGCCCTTCATCTCGCTTCATCCAACGGCCAGGATCTGATCACTCACTAACTA